ATTCCCAAACCTGCTCCAACCCAGACCTCGACTCTGAATCCCCTACCCACTGGACACGTCCATGCAAATATCACCCAATACTCATCCCAGGTCAGGCAGTTCACAGTTGCCTGAACTCGGAAACTTCTCACCCTCTTTGTTGTACCCAACGTGCCCTTGGTCCACCATGTGTGTTAATCTGCTTTGGCTGTCATAACAAAATACCAGACTGGGTGTCTTAAACAACCAACATGCATTTTCTCTCAGTCCTAGAGGCTAGAAGTCTGAGGTCAGGGTTACAGTTGATTCAGTTTCTGGTGAGGACTCTCTTCCTGGCATCTCAATAATTTAATTCCTCAAGCAGCCTGCTGTCTGTCTGGTGTCTCTTCTTTTCTTTCTTTCTTTCTTTCTTTTTTTTTTTTCCGTACCAGGGATCGAATTCGGGTCCTAGTGCTTGCAACGCAGGCACTGGAACCACTGAGCCAAATCCCCGGCCCTGACATCTCTTCTTAGAGGGACACTAATCTTATCAGATCAAAGTCCCACCGTTAAGACTGCCTTTCACCTTAATTACTTCCTCAGAAGCCCTGTCTCCAAATACAGTCATGGTTAGGGTTTCAACATATGAATTTGGGATAAGGAACACAACATTCAGTTTCTCCCCCCAAAGGTCCCCCAGATATGTGACCCCTCTCTTTTCACTGTTTTGGCCTTGCTGTCTCTCTGCTTCAGCTATAGCACTGGTCCCCCTGCTTGTCTCTCCTCCTGCCCACCCCATGCTCCTTGTAGAAATATCTTTCCACAATGGACAACGATCGCTGAACACCTACCGAGAGTTTTCACCAATACTGTCTCACCTCATTCTCCCAACAACCCTGTCCAGTGGTAGAAACCCAAGGAAAGCTCAGAGAGGTTACGTGAAACCCAGTGTTGATTGAGCTGGATTTGAACCCAGACTGGGCTCATAAGTATCTGCTCTTTTTTGAGGGGGCGGGGACCAGGGATCGAGGCAGGTGGCAGAACCACTGAGCTAAATCCCTGGCCAGTACCTGCTCTTTTGATATGTGTCTCCTGCCATTGCAGTCCAAACATCTAAAAGGATTCCAGGCCTTATAACACACATGATAGTTAATGGGTGGTAGGTTAACCCAGTCCATTGTAATCGTAACCTCAGCTTCTCCTTCATCAGTACTTAAGCCAAAGTTAGTTTCCTTTCTGATTCCAACTAGAGAACCAGGCCTTCTATTTTGCTGTCTTTGGGGGAAATGAGTTAACATTTTATTAATCAAAGTGAAAATGTACTCTTTTTTTTCTGTTAAGGACAAATTCTTACATGTGACTCAAATTATTTCTCAGGAAGTTTATGTGCACTTTTTTAAGTGTAGAGTGGAAAATGAACTATCGCTTTGTCTTAATTCCCCTCTAGCTGGCATCCTAACCTCTGTTCACTTGCAGGAGGGAAGGGACACAGGTTGCTGCCCCATTCACAGGATGATTAGTTGAACCAACCAAGTCAAACACTCAGCTCCCCACAGCACGCCTGGAAGACCTCCGAGGTTTGAGGGTGAAGCTCCTCTCACTGACCGTCTCCACCAGCTACTCTGGGGTACTTCCGCATGCCCCACACACAACCAAATGCGCAGACACGTGGGAGTGCCCATCCAGTCCTTCTCCCCTTGCTTTAGTGTTAGGGGCCTAGGGTGACTCCTTCCCCAAGTCAGCAGCTGCTCCCCACTTATCCCAAGCTTTGGTTGTATCATGAGGCAGGGAAAACTTAGATCTACATGAAATCTGACCCTGACATTTAGCTGAGGCCTATGCAACTTTGGGTATGTGACCAACCTCTGGGCTTGAGTCCCACGGAAGGTACCTGGCTTCAGTATACAAACATTATTTCTGTATCTATGAAGTCAGTATTATCTTCATGTTAAGAAAGTAGAAGGGCTGGGGATTTAGCTCAGTGGTGCTGCCACCTGCCTTGAAAGCCCAAGGTCCCAAGTTCAATACCCAGTACCAAAAAAGAAAGAAAAGTAAAACAGGTTTGGAGACGTGTCTGATTGAGCTACTGGTTCTGGGGAGCAGGTCTATTCAGTTCTACAGCTGGTTCTACCCAGGAGTGGAGAGGATGTGCAGGAACCTGACCATACTCAGTATGCCCAGGCACATGGGCTCACGGTGCTGTATGTCCATTGGGGTCACTCAAGGTGCCTGTCTGCGGTCCAAGGGCCTGTGGGCTTGAGGCCTCCCGGTGGACAGGCAGGCAGGCATGTGCTAAGGACCACTGCTGCTGGCTCTGCAGACACTGCTTCGCTGTGCTGGATGAACGGCCCACTTTCCATGCCCGCCCCCCAGGCCCGCCCTTCCCTACTCCCACTGCCTATTTAAGCCAGAGGCCCCGACTCAGCCTAAGTATAGGCAGCTTCCGGAGCCAGGAGAGCAGCGCAGCAAGCCCAGCTCACCCAGGGAAGAAAGGTCCTTCTGTTTCACCACTTCCGACCGGTGCGTTCTGAATGATGCTGCTGAGCAGAATTGTGGCGGGACCTGGTTCTGCGCATGGGAGGATACTGAGATGTGCAGCTGGCAGAGGGAGGCTCTGATTGGATTTTTCCCATTTCTAATCCCTGACTTGATGTGATCTTATTTTCAAAGAGGGAAAAAGGATGTAGTTTGTGAAAGGACAAGGAAGTGCATATTTCAAAACAAGGCCTGGCTCAGAATATCAATGGTCTGACATGATTGTCTCTTCCTTTGAGAAAAGAGAAGGGCCTATCATGTCAAATTAGGGATGATACTGTTTCCCTTCAGGATCCCCTCCCTAATTAGTCAGTTCCTGTCATTTAATTCTGTTTCAAAAATATAAGCAGGGGATTTCCCCAAAAAGTTTAAAAGTGGGTGGGGGAGCTGTACAGCTGGTGGGTGAGTTGGGGAATTATCAGAGGCCAAAGACTGCTTAACAAACTTCTAAGAGATGAAGAGTGAGCTCCTCCTCCAGTTGGAGAGGGGCCATGGGGACTGGGAGGTGTCTCGGCGGGGAGCCTGCCTCCTATGTCCACTTCGAGAGATTTGCTAGCAGGCCGGGATTTAGCTCAGTGGTTCTGCCGCCTGCCTCCCAAGCGCAAGAACCCAAGTTCCATCTCTGGTACCAAAACAAAAAACAAAAACCCAGACTTGCTATCCTCAGGACTAGGGTCATTACAGCCCAGAAGAGAGCAAAAGAAGACATGCATGGGCTCATCTGCCTACTGAGGATGAGGCCTGCTTCCTGGGGTCGTGGATAGGACCTTCCCCAGGAACCAGGACATCAGGCCACCCTCTGACTTCCCAGCAGGCTGGATTCCCTGGGCTGTAGCAGGAAAAGACTCCTGCCAGGTACTGAGGGAAGAAATTAGGGTATTCCCGTGCAAACTAGGGCTACCAGGTCACCCTGAGTATTGCAAGGACCTATGGGCTCTGACTTTCTTCTCACTATGATCTGGGAACACCACGTACCAGTGCTCATTGCATGCGGACCATGTTGAACCCCAGTGTTTGGGGTCGGGGGTTGGGGTTCAGCGGTTAAGTAACTTGCTCAGGACTACCAGTGTTGGATGGCTGGCTTAGACCAGGTCACAGGAGCCCAGACCTTCTCTGTGTGGATTTTTTTTTTCTTTTTTAGTTTTTTTGAGACAGGGTCTCACTATGTAGTTGAGGCTGACCTGGAACTCACTATGTAGCCCAGGCTGGTCTCGAACCCACAGTGATCCTCCTGCCTCAGCCTCCAGAGTGCTGGGATTACAGGCGTGAACCACCACGCCTGGCTCTCTTTGTGGATTCTTAATCAGAAGGGAGCAAATTGTTGCTGTGAGAGGAGAAATGCTGCCAGTGCTCCTGCAATATCTCTGGACAGAGAATGGATGGGGGCTCAGAGTTCAGATTCTTTTGAAACAGTTTGGACAATTTGCAAAATAACTGTACAGAAAGGAAGGGTATGGTCGGGAGGAGGCCTGGGAGTGCGGTAGCCTTACTAGGTGTATGAGGTGGTAAAGGACTTTGAGCCGGCCGCGGAACTAGTTTGAGAAGGGGAGGGCACACACACAGCTGCGAAGGCAGAGCCGGACGAGGGCGGAACTTGAAAGCGAGATTGATTTTACCCTGGATTCCGCCGGGAGGTGGAGGCGGGGCCTGGGACTGGAGGGACTAAAGAGTCTGGACACCCCTTCCAGCAGGTGTGGAGGGGGACTGCATTGGGCTAGGGACCAGGAGGCAGGGCCCGTGGCGGGGGCGGGCGTTTAGGGCGTGGGGGGGGGGGGGGGGGGGGGTCTACTGCGGGACGGGGGCCCAAGTGTGCAAGGCAATGTCCCTAGGGTGTAGAGCCAGGGTCCCTCTGTTGGCTCGAGTAGTGAGCCTGTGGCACCGCGTCCGAAGACCTCCGCTCCTACGTGTGGCTTCCCAACTGTCACCTAAGCCCCCTCTGAGCGGTTCATGAAGTGTCCCCTCTGATCCTCCCCTCCCAGCCTGCCTACCCCCACCTTATCGCTGCAGATAGATCCCTCTGGTTCTCTCTGGAGACGCAGCCTCCTCCCCCAGCCACCCCTGTCTCGGTGTACATGGTCCTTTTCCCCCAGCCTGGGTTTAGCTCCCACCCCCGAGCAGAGACTACACAAAGCTCTCACGGGCGCTCGGGTTGTGCAGGCTTCGCCAATCAGATCAATCCCAGGCCCTCGGCTGGAGCTCTGAGTTCTCTTCCCTGGCCCCCCGCCGTCAACTTGCACACCGTGGACCGCCTGGGTCCAGCTGTCCACCCAGGGAGCCCGCCCCACGTGTCCACCTTTCTGCGGTCTTCACACAACCCCGCCCCCACCACCTCCAGCCGGCCGCACCGCACCCTGGCCCTGGCAACCTCAGTGGAGGGTGTGGCAGTGCCTCCGGGGCAGTTGGGGCTCCTCCGTCTTTATATCGGGCTCACCTGTTCTGGCTGCCTGGTAGCCTTAGAGTTCCGGAAATTGTTCTGGCCACTCTGTGAACTGCTCATCTCCTTTCAGGTCTTGATTGCCTGGACCTCCCCTCTAAAGAAAGAAGGGCAAAGTCTGAGTGGCCCTCCTCAGGTAAGACAGGCTTCTGCAATGGAGGAGAGAGGGTGGGGTACGGACAGAGGAGGTGCTGCCCTAGGCCTCCCCTCAAGGGTACTTGTCAATGTTTTTATACAGAAAGGTGCTATGTGAAATCGGTTAAGAAAAGGTTCTGCTGCTTGGTTATAAAGTTTGAAATCCACACCTGTGGGGTAAGCACTCTGGGCCAGGCCTGCCCTCCTGTGGAGCAAGGCGCCAGCGCAAGGGGGTGTGTTGTACTCCCACATCTGCAGAGAAAGTGCACACTCCTTCAGTACACAGGAAAAGCACAGTGAAGGGACACAGATTGAGTGAAGGGATACAAAGTGACTACCCTGGAAAATGAAGCCAGGCAGCATTGCCCACTGAACTATCCAAAAGAAATAAACATTTTTTTTTTTTAAATCTAAAACCCAGAGCTGGTAAGGATATTGTGAAAGAGCCATTCTCAAACAATCACCAAATGGACAGACCTCAATGGAAATCAATTTGGGAATATGTATCAGAAGCTTTCAAATTTACTTATTTTCTTGAATCTATCGCAAAGAGATCATTCAGATGACTGGACATTTTTGGGAATAAAAACAAACTAAGAACACAGTGACTTCTTCACAGGGATCTTAGACCAGAATCCAGAACAGCAAGACCATTATAAGGACCCATTCCTGCCCAGACACTGACAAACTGAATGTTTCCGGGACTGCCAGACTGGGAGCAGAGAGCTCTGGGGTCCAAGCTGGTGGTAACCAAAGGGGAGAACCAAAGAAGAGAGGTGAGGCCAGGGCCTTCCCTGCTGGAAGGGAGGAAGGTCACTGGGGTATGCTGTCTAAGGGCTCAGCAGGCAACAAATGTAACCTGCAGGGGACCAAAATGGAGGAGCAAGGATCTTGTCTTGTGAGAAGTGAGGGAAGGGCATGGAGACAGTATAAAGACCATACTACCTTTCCCCAAAACTTGTCTGGGAGGCAAGGGACGGTGGTAGATATTGCTCAGTTGTATATTTTGCATGTTATTTATATTCAGCCTTCATGAGAAAGGAAGGAAAGGGAAATTGGAGTCGGGTGACTTGGCGGCACTTTTTAGTTATTATTGTTCATTTCTCTGAGCTTCAGTTTCCTCAGTCTGTAATGGGACCAACTATACCCATTCAGGTTACAGCATCTACTCCATGGTTCTGAAAGGTGCATCCATTATTTCTGCCTCTCTTTTGCTTATTTCCAGTCTCCCTCCTGTCTGTGGCATGGACAGATTCATGTATGTGCCCCTGCCCCAGTAGGGAAAGTCAGAGAGAGGGAGGGATGAGTTTGAGATCTTGAACAGCCAGAGGTGGGCTCAGATAAGCTGGTTTGGTGAAACCATTCAGGCTATGGCTCAAGGTCAAAAGGGAGCTGGGCTGTCACTTGTCAGTCAAGTAACAGTATCCACACAGCTAGGGGCAGGAAATGGAATAAAATCTGGGGCTTTTGGAGGCACAGCGGGACACAAGCTTCAGAGAAAACAGCACCCTCTTTCCCCAGGAGGATGGAGGTCAGGGTGGGGGAGAGAGGGAGCACCTCCTTCCAATTCCAGGATGCCACGTGGGCAAGGTCCACGGTCCTCAGAGACAACTCAAAGAACAACACATGTGCCCCTGCTCCTTTTGCTCAGAGGGATGGATTTCATTGACATAGCTTAAGTCTCCTTTCGGTCCAGCTTGATAAATCCGAAAATGTCAGATCTATGTGACAGGAGCCAGTCTTTGCTGTGTGTAGACTGCAAACTTAGGCAGTACATGCACAGAAACAACCAGCCACCAAGATAGAAACAGTCTGAGGCAGGCTAAAGGGCCCAGGCCATGACTGGGGACTGACCAGAGTTTGATGAAGAGACCATCACTGTGGCTCCTAAATCCCAAGCTTCACTGAAGCCACAACCTTTTCACAGAAGAGGGGTCAGCAGGGTCTGGGGATTTGGCTCAATGGCACCGAGCCTGCTTCACAAACACAAGGCACTGAGTTCAATCCCTGGTACCAAAAAAAAAAGGAAAAAAAAAAAGCAGAGGGGTCAGTGGGAGCCACTGAAGGGTCTGCTGTGCGGTGCAGTTTAGAATGGTGTCAACCAGCTGCCAGATGTGACAGCGGAGGGTGGCCAGGTGAAGACTGTTGCAGTTTCCGGTGGGAGAGGAAAGGCCTGAACTGGGGCGTGGCCATGGGAATAGAGCCAAAGGGCTAGAAAGGCAGAACCGTGGGCTGGAGAAAGGAGGCAGGGTAAGGAGGAGGAGTTCCAGACCCCAGGAATTCTTGGGGAAAAAGCTGGTGTTGAGGAAGTGAAAGAAGAAGATGATGAACTTCAAGGGAAGATGTAGATACGTGGGGTTAGAGGTCAGAAGGTAGCTGTGCTGGCTGTCACCTTGGAACTGATGTCTCATGAGGAACCAGCTGAAAGAGGAGAGATAAGACAGGGGACCGTTCAGCTCCTAGAGGGCGAGCAGGGGAGGAGGGGACCCCAAGGGCTCAGAGAAGGAGCAGACTCCAGAGCAAGAGGGGAACAGGAAGGATGGTGACCCAGAATCGGGGGCAGAGTGGAGAATGAAGCAACTTTGAACCACCCGTTGGATCTATTTATTTCTCTTTTCTTTCTGTCTTTTTGCTGTGTGTGACGGCAGTGGTGGTAGTACTGGGGACTGAACCCAGAGCCTCCCGTATGCTAGGTGAGCACTCTCTCTACCACTGAGCTATACCCCCAGCCCTGGGCCTATTATGTTTTTAAACTAATCTGGTTGAAACTGCATGAACTGTTTTCCCATTGGTGCTGACCTCTGTTCTGATGTCTTCTTTCCCAAGCTTACCAAAAACCCCTGTGAAGCACCCTGACCACCTTCTCCCTGGAAGTGGGGGTGCAGCCTCAGTCTGCGTCACCAGCCAGAGGGTCACTCACCTGCCCAGAGTGCAGGACACAGACGCAGCCTGCATGCTCTGAGTGGGCAGGGTTACTGGAGGCCCTCAGGCCGCGTAGTGTGAGGGTTGCTGTCTGCAGTCTAAGTTAAGGAAACCAGTAGGGGAAGCTGAGTAAGAGCGTCAGGCCTCCTCTCAGGCCCATGTTCTGCAGCTGTTCCTCATCTGCATCTCCTCCTTGTCTGTAGGCAGGGATCTGGTAGTCATAGCGGTCATCAAGGGTGTGACCCTGGCAGGCAGGACTTCCCGAGCGGCTGCCCCACCTTGCGCCCGCTCTCGGCTCCTCTCTGTCCCGCCATTCTGCCTGCCTCTCCATTTGCTCACTGCTTGCCACCCATCATCTTCCTGTCTCCACACCCTTTAGAGGACACCTGTGCCCTCAGTATACACACTGAGAAGGCAGAGTCCGCCACCGGAAACTCCTAGGCCCCCCACTGTCACCTGACTTGGGCATCCCCAGCCTCCCTGTTTAACACTGCTGCTCTCTCTGCCTCTGCCCCTGAACAGCCTTGCATGCCCCCATCAGCCAGCACAACCAAGTGGTATCTGATGGTGCTGGCCTCTTGCTCTGTCTCTCAAGTATCAAGTATCGGGCAGAAGCTGTTGGCTGTGTCTCAGTCTGCACCCACCTGGGAGGATCCCCAGCCCTGCCACCTGCCCATCTCATGCAGGCCCAGCCCTGTCCCCAGGGCTGACCCCACCAGCAACCCTTCTCAGAGCTCTCTCTTGGATTTGCTTCTCCATCTTCATGGATTTACTTTCTACTTATGTCACCAAAGCAGCTAGCTCTCTCTGAGCTGAAAGTTTCCACTAAAAATTAAAAGATTAAGCTCAGCTGCTCTGATGCCTTATGCTCCCAGCACATAGCAGAAATAGACTTTTCAGTCCCCACACTGAGGGCGTGAGGAGTGAGCCTTCCTCCTGGCCTAGATTCCAGGCAGAGGAACATCGTTATGGTTTTGGCATCAAGTAAATGGGCTGATTACACAGCAAACCAGAAGCATTACTGCCCTGGCCGGGATGGGATGGGTTGTACTGTACTTAAAATCAAAGTCTTCTCGCTCCCACTGCATGAGTTTTAGTGGGGGCCCTGATCCCTGCCTTCTTGTCTTGGGCCCCCACTGATGGAGGAGCCACCACCTGAAACACCGGAAGTCAGTGTGGCAAAGGAAGAACTTTTAAGTAGGCATTTCTGAGGAGATTGGTATTGCTGTTACGCTAGCAGCCTGTGTACACATCGCTGCCACAACCACAGCCAAGAGTTTCTGTTTCTCCTTCCAGAAGTACAGGATTTGACTGCCAAGGGAAGCTGTAGGTGGGTGGGGTTCCCACCACTGGAGGGGAGGCATAAATTGGAACCCAGAGTCCCAAAAGACCCTTCCTTGGTTCTGAGGAAGATTTGGTGGCAGAACTTAGAAAGAACTTGAGGGGACCACAGACCCTTATAATCCTTTGATGGGGACAAATAAAGTGTAAGCAAATAAACTGTAAGTCGTAGCTCCATGGACTGTCTGCAAAGCACTCCCTGCTATATATCCCAGATGCACTGGACAGAGTGTCAGGCTGTCACAGGTCAGAGGACTCCTGAAACTCTGGCCTGAGCCAGCCATCCCCTCTCGGGGGAGCAAGGACCTTCTCTGACTGCTTCACTTGAGAGCTCCTTTGGTGCCGTGTACAGAGGGGGCCCTGAGGTCGAGAGGTCTCTGAAGGGGCCCAGCCAAGGGTCTTGGCCTTCAGCAGGGAGCAGGACCCAGACTCAGTCCAGAAATCCCAGCCCTCAGGGCCAGCTGCCCAGGACTGCAGGAAAAGCCGGTGACATGCTGACGCCTGATTTTATTTACTCAATTCTCACTCATTCGCTTTCCCTGCATAAATTCTCCTGTAGGACTCAATTTGTTAAATGTTCTTTGCATAGAAAACGTCAGGCTGAATGTGAAATGATTCCCTTCAGAAGAATGTCAGCAAGTCTGTTCTGTTTTAAGAAGGTTTGTTGTCTTCATCTGTGTTCTCTGGTGCCTTGAAATGCCCACACACAGCTCAGTCAGCCAAGCCATTCCAGGAGGAAACGCTGTACTTGGAACACAGACAAACATGGGGTCTGCTAGATCCTAGCATTTGTGTGGCCTTGTGTTGAGGGTTCTCCTCCCACAGAAAGCGTGTGGCCTGATGTTGCTAAGCAAAGTGTGTTCTAAACCTTGCAAAGTGTGTTCTAAGCCTTGTTCGCCTCGTGGAGTATGGACATCAGCCTTCGTGTCATGGAAGCAGGGACTTGGCTGAGACAGAAGCCTCAACAGCAGGCGTGAGAGAAGCAAGACTTCTCAGTCTCTGTCCTTGTGGATCAGGGTCTGATGAGGTGGAGATGGTACTGGCCTTTTGGGGACCAGTGGGACTTCTCAGACACTCAGCAGGATGGGCAGCCCCTCTCATTCAATGGACACTGCAGAACTCACCTGAGGCGGGAGACATGACTTGCTGGGGATTTGCCACCTGTGGCTGTTAGCGAGACCCAGCTCAGGTATGGACTGTAGCACAGAGGCAGACTCAGAGCACTTGAGGTCAGGGGTTCAGGCCCCTCTGTTCAGCTGTTGACACATGGCCTCCTGAGTCAGGTCTGATCTGGTTTGGCCATCAGTGCCCTCTGCAGAAAAGGGCTCGTGAACAGGGTAAAGGGCTCAGACCTCATCTTCATCATGGAGGAAGCCCTCTACCCCAGCCTCCTTTGCCCTCCCAGGCTTACCCCATGAGGGCACAGACTGTCAGGAGCTCCAGCAGACTCTATATTCAGGAAGGTTCTTGAGCATAACGTGAGGGTCCACAGGAATGGGGAAGGTGTGGCTTG